AGCTCATCTTCCTAAATAGATCTAGGTTTTGCTTGAGCTTGCTTGTATTCCTTTGTAAGAATCTTTTTCTACTTAGTGGATTGCCTAGTCGGTTGATGACTCCCAGTTTTCCCAATGGTGGGTTTCTGGGTGAACAAAACCTGTTTTGCATATCTGTAAATTTATCTGGGTTTCTGTTCTTGATAGTTGACTAGTCATCTATATCTGCTGTTTGCTGTTTACTTGATATTGATGACTTCACACACATTTTCACTATAGTTGTTGCTAGCACAGGGGATGCCTAGATTGATGGGTCCTTCTGAGTGCCTAGGTTGTCACTAGTAATCTTCTAGGACTGCAGGTACTCTGTGGCATACTCTGTGTGTTCTCTTGATTGTTGAGTTGTTGTGTCTTGTTTGTTTAGTTAAATTTACCCATCGTCACCTAAGTATCAATTACAGTTAGATTATTGATGTGGCACATCGCGTGGACTAAACAATAATATATAGCCATTGAAAAGAAAATTCGGGGGTGCTTCTGGTTCTTTAAATTCTAATGATCAAAGTTAGATTATCATATACGGAACAATCCACTGATAATATAAGCAAATTCGTCTTGTGGATCTTACTATTCAAACAAAAATTCAGCTTTAGTTAATATGATGGTTATGACATAGAGATGCGGTGTGGGTGTTGGGGTCGGCATGAGCACAATTTTTAACTTGGGTGTAAATTAAACACAAATACAATCAGAAATCGACAAATTCCAATTGGAATAATTTTGAAATTAAAAATGACGTCATAAAGTTGTATGTATTCTTTAATTTCTTAGTAGATGATATTATGTTAAGTTAGATTCAACGCGCTTAAAATACCCAATTTAGAGCCGTTTACAGATTATATCTCCTTCATTTTCCCTTCTGTTATAGTTCAAAGTTTACATCAAATGCCTTTCGAATAAAAAAATCTGTTGCAAAGCTCTTTCAGGTATTTTGTTTTTTCTTTACTTTCCCTAAACCAAAATTGAAGAAATTTTTATACCATTTTTTCCCTCTCCTGCATGTAGTAGTTAGAGTTCATTTTTATTCGCTTAGCCCCCCCCAAAAAAAAAAAAAGCAGTATTGAAAGATCCCGTAAAGAAAATATTTGTATAAAAAAAAACGAAGAGAGAAATAGTTAGAAGATAAGGAAAGATGAAGAAGAGGGCAAAGTAAACAGCCTAAGAGGACCAAGTAACCAACGCTTACGGAAGAAAATAAGGTCTGAATAAAAAAAAATTTCACAAAATATATCAACAGAGCAGATGCAGATGCTAATCTCACAATCTGGGTTGGGCCACTTCAGTTTTCCAGCCCAAAGATATGTTAAAACTGAACAAATGGGGTCAATAAAAATAATCCCCCAGAACAAATGGGGTCAATAAAAATATCTCCGAAGAAGATGCATTTGATGCTACGAAATGACATTGGATGTATCCAAAAACAAATAGTTTGCTGTTGAGATGTACAAAAAATTCATCCAGGGCTTGTGGACGGTCTTCTTTCTACCTGAGAAAGAAGACCGAGTGATTAGAGAAAGGGTGAGAAAGAAGCAAGCTGAATACTCATCATATTCAACCATATTGGACTATCATATTATGATTCTCATCATATTATGATTCTCTTCTTGTTGCACCTGCACAAGTCGGATGCCCAACTCCTTTACCAGAAGCCCAGATTTCATAATTACAGAAACAACCACTTCTTCGCCACCTTCTAACTGATCATACAAATTCCAGTGGCTTAACCATATCATGTCTTCTCCTTCACCTGGAATACTGTAGTGTGATGGGAAATACGCCCCCCACAGACCCTTGCTCTTATTTTTGACTCTTATATGTGATATATAAGTGTGGTGGACAATAGGAGAATCATAGCCAGCATTCACATAGATAACAAAGACAATCAAGCCTCGAGTTCTGTGATTATCAAGTAATGGCACAGTAAAAGATATTGAGGACCCTCTTCTTTTGTGGCTGAATTGGCCTGGAACCTCATTCCCAGCAAAAAATGTGCTGATTATACCACATTCGTACAGTCCCTATATATATGCAATAGAACTGACAATATTAGTCAACTCTTTCCTGTGATCATATGAGAGAGAGAGAGAGAGAGAGAGAGAGAGAGAGGCGCACACCTGGACGGGAATTGGATCATCCTTTTGTAAAATGGGTGCCATTGATTCCAACAAGTTGCACAATCCCAAGAGGTTGATATTTTCTACATCTACACTTCCAATGGCGTACTTGTACTGCCACTCAACTAGGTTGTTGCGACTAAATGAAGTGGCTGACTCTAAGCTAAAGGATTGATATGTTATTTTCTCCAATGAAATGCAATCTACAATATCCAAGTTGTTTAGTCTTGGTAACCCCAGAAGCGATTTGAGACTCGTACACATGGAAAAAGAGAGTTTATCAAGCCTCGCTAATCCTTTGATACAATTTGGTAGGCCACAAATTGGATTATTCCCTAGATTTAGTCTTTGCAATGACGACATATTACTAAAATCCATAGGAAATGCATCATCTGAAAGATTGCAACCCCAAAGACTTAATTCTACTAAAGAGCATGGTAAAGAACCCAAGATACTCGAACTTCTTTCTAGCCATAATTCACTTATCGGAATTCCATCTGTCTCAAGCACTTTTAACGAGTCCATGTTCCTCAACATCTCAATTGATAACTCCTTTAGATTTGAGCAACCATATATAATAAATGTTTCAAGTGATTTTAGCATACAAATGTTCTTGGGAAGCATCCTAATCTTTTTGCAATCTTTCATATTCAAGTAAATAAGTCTCTCTAGGTTTCCAATGGATCCATGGACATAAATCAGCCTCGTGCAGTCTACTAGAACCAATTTCTCTAGATTTGGGCAATATGAGAAGTCAATGGTTTCTGTAAGGGAATGGGAATGGCTGAGATCAAGGATCTTCAAGGACAGAAGATACTGTAGGGGAAAAAATGTACAGAAGAAAACAATGTGGGAGTTAATTGTTATAAATATATAATTTGTTATCAAACTAAAAGCCTATGAAAATGAAAAAGAAATTGAGAAGAGTAGAGAGTAACATACTTTTGTTCCCTTGAATACTTGTCTTAGACCGCTGTATTGCATTTCAAGAACAATAATGCTTCCCAAAGGAAAATCAACGGGTATAGAATCCAGAGGAAATTCAAGCCAACACAACCATCTTAGTCCACTACAAAATTTTGCGTAACATCCGTGGAGTTTTACATGACTAAGATGGAGTAGTTTTAGTTCCTGCATCCTTGAAAATGCATTGGTTTCCAAGACTTTCTCATTTGAGTTTATAGTGGGGCACATGTGCATGTCGAGGACAAGACCTTCAATTGTTTTCGTACCCTACAAAAGAAAAGGAAAAAACATTTGGAAAGTTTTTAGAAGAGGAAAAACAAAAATGTGTACAAATAACGCATATTTCTTACATTCTTTTCCGTCAAGATTTTGAAAGAGTCCTTATGATGCCATACTCTACTACGCTTCCAAGGCTCCTTTGATTCTAGGCGAACAATTTCTCTTCCCATTCCACGAATCAGGTCATGCATCTGCACCTTGTCCCATCCGTCAATTATCGTCACCAAACATCTATCGATGAGATTTTGAATGCCAACAATTGTATAGAAATCACATCCATCTAGTATTTTAGCAATGTGATCTTTGTCCATTCCGATAAAGAAACAAGCAATGTGGAGGAATAATTTTCGGTCATGGTCATCTTGCAAAGTGTCATAGCTTACTCTTAGTTTATTTATTATTTCACCATTTGGAATAGCTTCTAACTTCTCCAATGCACTTTTCCATAGACATATGCTTTCCCCCAACAAAGAAGAACCTAAAACTTTGAGAGCTAATTAATGGAAGTCCTCTGCAATGATCGACTAGCTTCTCTGAATATTCTATGTAATCTTCAATAGGATGGTCTTGGCCAAAAGCATGCCAACTGAAGAGCTCCAATGATTCTTTTTGAGTCAAAGTTTCAACTGCATACACCTCAGTAACTTGATGAGCCTTTAACAATCTTGCACGCCTAGTTGTTATGATGATTTTACTTCCTGGATAAAATCGATCTTTCATTTGAAATACTGCATCTAATTGGTCCATATGGTCCACATCATCAAGAACAAGAAGAACCCTTTTAGAGCTTATTGCATCTTCAATCTTAATTAATCCCTCACTAACATTGCTTATTTTCGTTTTTCTCCCATTCAAAATATCAGAAAGAAGTTGTGTTTGTATTTGAACTAAGCCATTGGGTTGATATGAAACTTCTTTGATATTTTCGAGGAAGCTGCTTCCTTCAAATATTCTAAAGTTTGAATTGTAAACAATCTTTGTGATGGTTGTTTTCCCTATTCCACTCATCCCACAGATTACAAGTGTGCCAACATCAGTTGACCAGCGTTGTAACCATAAATTAATTCTTTCGACTTGAGAATGCATTCCAACCAAGTTGGGAGCAACACTCAATGGTGTGCGACTTAGTTTGTCTCCAATCATTTTAACTATTTTCTTGATAAACTTTGACTCATACCTAAAAAATTGTAATAAAAATGAAAGAGAATTCAAACATGAATGCATGATTTCATATACTTAAGTTATAAAATACCATGGAAATAAGTTCAGAAAGTTAGAAGGTACAAATATATAATAGATGAGTGCTGAAAGAGTTAGATAGAACTTAAAACTATGTTTGCAATTACAGCTGGATAATAGGTATTTCTCTGTCTTTGCATCTCAGTCCCGGATGCCTTTAGAAGAATCTGGATTGCTGAGTGTTTTTGTGGATGTGCTGAATATTAGGGTTATTAAAGAATCTATCAATTTTTATTTTTATTTTATTTGAAAGGACAGAATCTATCAAGATTTAGTCCGTAGCATGTGCACCTCGTCTAGATCTATCCTGGTCTAGAACTAAAGCTCAACCAAACGTAAGCAAAAACTACTTCAAATCTAGATAATAAGTAAAAAGAATATTCTTTTTAGAGACGGAATATAATTAAAACGACTAATTTCAAATCTACAAAAGTCTTTTAGCCATTCCAAAAGCACTGCTAATACTACAAATTTTGAACTATGGAAAGTGCCAACTACATTTTTGTACACTTAACACTACGAAATACATATTAATAACGAGATACTAATTCAGTTGCAACCAAATTGTAACATCCCGGTCCGAAAAAGAATTAAAATAATTAAATTAAGAGAAAATAAATTTGGATGAGAAAATAAATTGAAATAAACAATAAAAGTAAAATGATTTGAATTAATTAAGGGTTTTGGAAAATAATAAATATTTACTTAATTTTTTAAAAGGGGCAAAAATGTCATTTTAAGTTCGGGGAGGAATTTGGGACTTCCGGTTATAACATTGCGTAGAGCACGTCGAAACGAGTCCGTAGACACATAACGGACTCGAATCTGAGTTATAACGAGAGAGATACGAGAAAAATTGATGAAGGGGCAAAATTGTAATTTTGAAAAAACTGGTAACCAGAATTCTCTCTCTCTCCCTGCGAGCAGCCCCCTCCCCTCTGGTTTTTCTGCACAGCCGGTGGCTCCAAGGAGCCACCACCGCCGTTACAGGCCATGGCTGGCCCCGGGATCGGACCCAAATGAACCGGCAGCCACTCTCCTCCCTCTCCGGTCAAGCCCAGCCGTCGAAAGCGCCGGAATCTGCCGGATTTTTGGCAGAAAATCGGCTGGAATTCGTGGAAAATTCGCAGAGCTCGTTTGAGCGTTTCCGACCACCGTTTTGGTCGAACCAGGTATGGATCTTGAACCTCTCGAGCTGTTCTTGCTGCTGGTAATGTTAGTTTTGAGAAATTTCCGTGTGTTGGTAGTCGTTTAAGCGATTGAAAAATCTGCCGGCTTCGGCTCCAGATTTCAGCCACTTCCGTCGACTTTTTGAGGTATGCTCAAGAACAAAAGTGGCTCCAAATTAGGTGTATTACCTAGGGTAGGAGTCTTGGCCCCTGATTTTGAGTTTTTCCGGCGAGTGGTGATCGCTTTGGACACCCACGCGCTGCCGGCTCGTGTGGCGTCGCGTGGGTACTGTAGCATAAGGGAATTTTGTCCCAATGCGATCCCCTGGTTGTCACAAGCGCATAGGATTTTACGGATCTCAATTCGGATAACGTTTGAACCCTGAACGGATTTTACATATTGTGTGATTTCCGGGTTCGATAGGTTAGAACCGTTGGATCACTTGCAAATTAATATATGTTGATAATCGTCCGATCGTGCGATCGCGAGCGATCTAACCGTCCAATCCGAACCAAACTTGCAGGACGTGTATCCTAGACCTTGTGGAACCCATAGGAACTTTCGGAT